TGCAGTAATATCCTCTTTTCTCGATGTTAAAAAAGCACTTGACAGCGTTTGGCACTGTGGCTTTAGATATAAGCTTTCCCAGTATAATATACCAATTCCTCTCATAAAATGGATTTCGAACTTCCTAAAAGAAAGAACAGCTAAAGTCAGAATACACAATAATGTGTCCACACCCTTTAACTTACAGGCAGGGGTTCCCCAAGGCTTAGATTTTTTTTTTTTAATCTTTATTAATGATATAAACTTTCCTGAACTCACTGAAACCTTTGCTCCACAGTATGCTTATGACTTGGCCATTTGGAGCACATCATGTTACCCCTGTATAGCAGCCAAGAAAGTACAACCCTTACCAGATGATATAACTAAATGGTACAACATCTGGCGAGTATTACTCAATCCATTAAAAATACAAGCCACAGTATTCAGCAAAATCCTTAAAAGAAACAGGAAAAAAAGTTAATCAAGTAAAGCTCACCCTATATGATACACAAATCAAATTTACTAATTCAATTAAAGTATTAAGTATAACCTTCACCAACAGGCTCACATGGAATACTCATTTTAAGGAAATCATTAAGAAAAAAAATCAAAGAATACAACATCTGAAGAAATTAGGTGACTATGCCAAAGGTTATGATGCTCAAACCCTATTACTAATCTACAAAATTTACATTAGAGCAGTTTCAAAATATGGTAATGTTGGTACATGCAACATGTCCAATAACTTATACAAAAGCAATTAGAATAACATACAATCTCCACATTTATACACCAGGGACATATCTTCATGATATTAGCAAGATAAAAACACTTAATGAAAGATTCCAAGAACTAGCCACAGCATATTACGAAAAATCTAAATATTATAACACTCTCTTGAGCAAAATCACGAAATTAGCTGAAACACCCAAATCATGAAACAAACACATAACCCCCTTTTAACACAATTCAAATACTTAATAACACATATCAACCACCTTGATCATTTACCTTTTTTTAAACCTCGGTTTTACAGGCATGGACAAGGAATACATTATTTTTATTTACATATTATGCTTCTAGTGTACTTAATATGTTAAGCTCTACTGATGTACTTATTGTAATATATATTCATAATTCTTGTTTAATATCGTAATTTGTACTTGTAACTTCTGTGTGCTTGTTAACATTGTAAATTTTTGTATTTGTTAATTGTTATAAATAAATGTTTCCATCTTGGCCCCTTTTGGGGCAGGTCATTTGGCCCTCCTGGTATCAGCGTATGCCAGCTGTATCTCGGCTACAGTGCATTTCTGCAAAGTTGTAGTGGGCTCAATGGGTAGCTTCATGTCATGTAGCCAACAACAAACAAGTGAAAGAACATTTCTGGTCTACTCTGCACAGCAAGCCAGAAAATAATCATTCACTCCCAGAAGCCACTAAAACAACACCTGGAAGTCCAAAAATAAACAAGAAATCAATAAGCCCAGCATGGGGCAAAGAGAAATTCAAATTTCTGAACAACCTTGGTTTTAAACCAAAATACCTACCTTGACAAAAAGAAAGGACAAACACAGCCCTGATGACAAAAGGTGGAAGACTTTTGAAACATCATCCTCTACACTTGTGTTTCTACAACAGGCAATTGCTATACATTCAACTAAATTTCATCAATCAATCATAATTATTGGGAGGTTATAAAATACGTAGTGCATAATGCTAAAATAAATGATCTTATGAGAAATGAGTATTAAGGTCTAGGATATAGTATAAATCGAAGTAAGAATATATTTAGAAGGGTTATTGTAAGTGTTGTTTGTCACAACGAGAGAAGATAGAAACATGGAGGTTTAATGGTGAAATTTTTATCAAAGATAAAATTTCTTTAAAGAGGGAGAAGTGAAGCATGCACAACATTTTTACACTATTTTCAAATGCTTCAAGAAATGAGAAATATAATTTCATAAAATTCCATGTACACAATGATGCTTGACCAAGAAATAAAATGTCAAATATAAACTAAGATGCATTCCAGGTGGTAGTTAGAATCAGTTGCTTATATTATCTATAGACCAATGCACAGCAGCAGACAAAAAGCTATTAGAAACTTTATATTAACTTCATTAGAGACTGGACACAACTTCCATAAAAGGAATTAGCAAGGAAATCAGAGAACTTTGATCTGAAGAGGTCGAGGAGAAATACATGCAAATAGGTTGCCAATTTACGGTCTTTGATCATAACTAGTTTTGGTTTTAGTTCCAAGAATTATGAAGAGTCAGCAAAATTCATTCAGTTAAGTGAAAGATCTACTTGTGAACCAAATGTGTACACTATTTGGAGAATCATAAGAATACCAAAGAAATCTGTATAAAAACTCCTGACTCATAATAAGAAGCCATTGGTCCTGCTGACAGTTTGTCAATTGAAATATTTACAGTCTCCTGGCTCATATGGAGAAGTCAAACAATCTGCTGTTGGTTGAAAAAAACTGATGTTGCCTGATCCAACTATGTCCGAGCTCATAACAATGTTGAAGATGTCTAACATTTCCCACTCAAGCTTCATGTAAGTAACTATTTCTATCTCTCTCAGAGTCGAATAATGTAGTTAGAAATTGAATGTAGTATTTAATATTAAAGAATTAACTAAAGTTATGTCTGAGCAGTTTTCAATCAATGTGTTAATTGATAACTTCCTGATAGTATTAATTAATGTAATGGATATTATAAAAAGTGCAACTGAAGTACAGTTACCTGCTCTGATTGAAGAATTTAATAATTTTAACAGTAAAACATTTCCAGATACCTTTAATAACCTTGATGTAGCCAAATTTCTTAATATTGCATTAAAGTGTTGTTTGTCTTTGAATCTCAGTCTCAAGTGAATTCTTTAATCTAACTGTAAACTTCCTTGAGTTAGTGACTTGTGTTCTCCACTTGCAACTGTAAACCTGGATTTAAAATGAATCTATTGTCAACTGGATTAAGTTGAACTCCAAACGACTAGCTCACATGGCGGTCCATGTTTTAAAGTAAATACAGAATTTGGAATTCATTGCAAGCAATTTCTTAAAAAAACAAAGAACAATAGAATAAATGAGGTGTGTCTACAAGTTAACAGTACTAATGTAAACCTCGTTGGCTTCTGCAAGCTGAAAGATACAAGATTTCATGAACAAAATAATCTAAGGTTGCAATCATGTCTTTCTACTAAACTATGAGATTATTTTAATCACACTACAGTTTAGCAGCATTTCACAAGAGATGTAATATTCATATAACTAGATTAAAGTTAAATGACAGTTCATGGTAAATGTATTGTTCTTTGAATCATTATAGTTTAGTAAAATTTAATGGTAAATGTAACATTCTTTCAATCATTCCAGTTTAGTAACAATTCATTGTAAATGTAGCTTTCTAACAATAGCTCATTAAAATGTAGAATTCCTTCAAGGAACTTTTCGTTTAGTGACAGTTTATGGTATTAGCAATCGATTAATGATTACAGTTTAGTGCAAATTCCTGGTAAATGTGGCATTCTTTTAAGCAAATTAGTGTTAATTGACAGTTTATGGTAATTGTGCCATGAACTCTCTCTAAATTGTAATGTTGTTAAGAAAAAGTTCATGATAAACAAAGCATTCTTTTAATCTCTTTAAGAGTTTAATGACAGCTCATGGAAAATATAGGATTCTTTTAATCATCACAGTTTAGTGAAGGTTTATGGTAAATGTAGCATTTTTAATATTATAGTTTAGTCCGTTTATTCTTAATTTAGCATTCTATTAATCAAAAAACAGTTCATTGAGAGATCATATTATTAGTATTCACTTAATTATATTACACCTCGAGGTAATTACAGCATTCTTTAAACGTAGGATTATTTTAATCTCATTACAGTTTGTGACAGGTCATGGTAAATGTAATATTCTTGTAATAATACTAAAGTTCATGGTAAGTGTAGCATTCTTTTAAACATTACAGTTTAATGACACATTTAAAATGTACACTTTATTGTTAAAGTAGCATTCTTTGAATCACTGTAAGTATAGTGACATTTCATGGTAAATGTAGCTTGTAATATTTGACATATTATGTCTTTTACATTTCAACACATTTAAATTGAAATGGTCTATGTGACTTAACTCATATGATGTTTCTTTGAGCTCTACATGGCTGTTTTAGACATTTGAAATGAAATGCATTTTTTGTATTATAGTAACTACCCAGTTGAAATGTTTTTCTAATCACTGTACATCTGAAGCTAAATGTTTGTAAATTAAATATATTCTAATTTCTAATATATAAAACTGAAAATTTGATTTTTAAAACAGTTTTTCCATCTTTTTATATTAAAAGTGCACTTCCTTCTTATTTATATTGTAAACTTGGTAAAAAAAAAAGACAATGTAATAAGACAATAAGTAAATACTATATGAAAGCAACAGCTGAATGATTGCCTCCATGTGGTTCAAAATTAGGGACAGTGACATTAAGTTACATGATGGGAGTACAGTCTGTGCTTTCGTGGTGCTAAAGTTTCTCTAGTGTTTTGCATAACAGTAGAATCTAAACTAAATAATGCTGTCTTATTTACAAAGAAGATCAAATAATTATCTGATCTACCTTCTTATATCAAACCATTCATGAGTATAGCTAATTAAGTATACTGTCCTTATGTTCTTACTTTTAAAGATTAGAATGCACTGTTTCATCAGCTGGGTACCATTGTTGTAAAGACATTTTCAATCATAATCACAGTATCATTTTTGGTCAGTTTAGGAGATTTAAGTTAGTCCTAAATCCATATTTTAAGAATTTAAAACTCTTTCTATAATAAAACTACATATATTAAACATTCCTAATAATTTCTGTTAATGAAGGTAACACTGAGGAAATAATAATTATACTTTCTCATGAAAGAGACAATAGTTGATGTCTTCAAGTGCTACTGTAGATTCCATTTTTACCGACATTGTTCTGTGACATTTGTGTGAATACATTAAACCATTCAACTCCTCTGTTTACCAAATGCAAGAAGTTTATTAGTGTTTACTAAAAATGGCCTAAAATACAAAATAATTCATTTATTTGTTTGTATTACTTTTCTGTTTGATAAACAAGTCCACAATAGTAAGAAACATAACTATTAGTGTGTCTAAAAAACAACATTTTACAACTCCTCTATTTTAACAGTTGGCTTAGGTTAGAATGGGGTGAACACTACACAGAACATGATTCATAGGGTTTAGAACAAATTAAATATTGCTGTGTTATGGAAGCACCATTGTTAAGGGTAGATAAATAAAATTCTGAACAAAAATTTATAAAAGCTGTGGCTCTTTTCACAAGATCCAACAAAATATCCTTGTAGCTTTGTTTGCAACTGATTAGAGATCATTCCTCCTCACTACTACTGCTACTACTACTACTACTACTACTGCTTCTTCCATACCAACCTTTCTTATATTTGTGTTTGAAGAGCTTTTTAGGCTTCATCTGAAATAAAAATAACCTGGTTTTACCAAATTATAATAATGGTTCTGCAAAATATCAAAGTTTCATAAGTCAGTATTAAAAATGTTGCAGGTTTTTATTAATAAAAAACAACACTACTATTATGGAATCTGACCAATATGTAATATGATGAACTCACCTTACAGAACAATAAAACATTTGCAAATTGGTTAAAAATATGGTTTGGAACTTGAAACTCTAATAGTACTAAAACCACATACCACAAAAATAGAATATCCATTTTTAGTTTACTCGGGTAATAGAATATCAGACACTTCGACATTATGTTGTTTGAAAACTCATACATAGAACACATCATCATTATACAGGACAGCTGTATAAAATATATATATATATATATATATAGATAAATATCTTAATAATTATCAATTACAATTATTGTTAATGGGCAATATAGATCAGCACTATTCAACAATAAAGAATTTATAATCATTTAATGCATCTACTTTCGCTCCCGGTCAGTCATCCATAGTCATACAATTCAAATACAATAAGTCACCATCAGTTGAAAAATGACTAAAACAACCCATGCTTAGTAAGCTAGACTCGCACACAAACACTAAACCTTTATAAAAATCCGTACACATACAGTAAACCCATTACCAGATACCACAATATCCCAGTTTGCCCATGAAGAAGAAAAGTCCACTATTCGAAAGCATTCAGGGTATAGGGTTTTTATCATTTTGTATCAAGACTTCTTGAACTTACATGTTTTTCTGACACCACAATATCAGTCATATAGATAGATCAGTATTGAACACATACAGTAAACCTATTTTAAATCCCAGATACTATAGCATTACATACATACAGTAAACACATACCACATGAAGTTATCTGAAATGAAAAAAATACATCAGGATGAATAAGGTCCATATAAAATTACAAACCACAGAAACTTACATGAACTGAAAAAAAAAGGGTTAACATGCTTCATAAAAAAATTATGTCTGATGTGAAGTTACCCCAGTTAAGCACATGAAGATGTGTATGGTTCATAGAAAACTATGCATCACACAGATACATGAACTGAACAAAACACAATACTCACAATGCCTGTTTTGCTGAGTAAAGCAGCTCCTCCAAGTAAAGCAGCACCTGTAGCCAGACCTGAGCTGATTGGAAGAGAAGAGCTCCCCATATGAGATCCAGAATGCTTGAAAATACAGCAGAGTGGAGTCAGTCAGAAACGTAACTTAAATGATGAATCATTTGGACACAGAATTATTTTGTATAAAAGAAATAAAAACATTACTAATAACCAAGTGCTAGGGAAAAAAAATAATTCCATTATAAAAAAAAACAGAAGAGGAAAATAGCATTGTTACAGTACATTAGCATAAGTATGAAAAGTTATGTAACTGTTATTTTCTAGATGTCTCCCCATTGCATTAACAGTACATTTATGGACTTGCAGTACTAAAATCTTAGGTTTTAATCTCCATAGTGGACAGCGCACATATAGCCCACTTTCCATAACATTAAATATTAGTATCATGGCACTTAATTACAGCAAAATAACCATTTTGGAAAATCTATTAAGAGATAAAAAACACAAACTTTTGTTGCCTGTTAACTTCCACTTACAGCAGAACATGTCAAAATGACTTTTAACATTACCATTAAGAAGAGGTACTATAACACAGAAAAGAAATACATTAAGGTCTAGAAAAAGAAATGCTATGTTTCTGTTACCTGGGAAACAAAAATAGGGTGGGTAGGTAGGCAATTTTTTTTTATATCTTCAAAAATATTAAAAAGTATTATTTACACATATGATCACTACAGAACTAAAATGTAAAAACAGGATATGTAAGTTAGTTAAGGTTAGATTAGATAAAATAAATAATAATACAATAAAAAATGTTCATGAAGCATGCATGCAAACAGCTCGTCGGTAATGTAATTTGACATTATAACATGAACCGCACATTCCCCAAATGATTTACAACTTATTTAGGAGGTTTTAGAGATCACGCAAATGACCGACCATGTGACCATTTTGTACTTGATGTAGTTTTGATAATACTAACTTTTAATATAGAATGTGTATCTTCACAAAATTCAGTAAACATTAAATGTCTTTTATCAATTGTTGTCTCATTATCATTATGTTTGATTAATGCAAAGTTGTTCATCTTAAATTATTATTCTCAGAAACATACAAAAAAAATCAATTAATCAAAATTAGTATATCCTATTATTCCAATTATCCAAGTAATCAAATGTTAGCTATCATTACTTCCATTGGAATGACTGCATACAACAATATGCTTGTATAGAAGCCACAAATGCAAGGGTGTGACCTAGGGCAATTGGTTACATAACTAGCCGCAGTGATGTTTATTGTTCATGGTTGTCTTGTATATTAAAACAATCGTGTAACTTTAACTTTATATTGCTTAATTATTATAAACTACTACCTATTCAGTGTTACTTCAGTAAGATTGATTTAATAAATAAGTTACAGCAAGCTATATTCATTATTTGTATTCACTCAAAAAACTGACTTCTTAATAACTTGCTCATTTAACCATGTTTATCAAAAATTACTATACACATATAAACAAGTCTAACAATATGTAATATTAAGTCATTAACCTATTTACATGATGAGTTTTCCTCTTTAATTATGACTAGCTCTAGCTAGATAAGAAGCATTGAAAAGGATAAAACAAAAAAGTTTAGCTGTTATTTCTTGCTGCGTAAACTCTGTCTTGTACAGTCAACTTTAAGTTGTTTTATTGATTTCTCAGTATGTATATGTTTTTAGTTTCTTCAAGCCTGTAATGTTAAATGTTCATAAAACAAATGTAATGTGTTTTCTATACACTTTCATCCATATCAACAACTTCTGTCACTTTTATACTTACATAGTAGTGAATTATTTTTCAAGTTTTTGCCACTCAAGATAAAATCAGGAAAAAAAAGGATACAATAAGCATGTTATTGAAGATGTTTTTATATTAGTTTGATTATAATATTTCCTATACTTAGATTTCTACCTTATGAAGTAATTTAAATATCTGCAAATAGATCATGAAGTATCATCATAAGTTTTCTTGCCAAATAATAAACTTGTCCTTTCTGTTCTTTTAGGATCAATGTATATATATCTATCTATATATAAAAGAGGAAGTTTGTTTATTTGTTTATTTTGTTC